GCGCGGCGTGGCTCGGGTCTCTCCCGTCCCCCCGTCCCTCCCCCCCGCGGCGCGGCTCGGGTTTTCCCCCTCCCACCCCCGGCGCGGCTTGGGTCTCCCCGTCCCCCCGGCGCGGCTCGATTCCTGGGGGCGGGGCTTGCAACAAGCCCCGCCCCCAGGAATCAGGCCCCGCTCTTGCTAAAGCCAGCCCTGGCTGGACCCTCCTCACCCGTGACCTGTCTGTGACTTTTACTAAAAATAATCGTGACAAAATCTTAGCCTTAACTATAATCAGTTGTTGTATGCAGTGTAGTTGTAGCCATGTCAGTCCCAGGATATTCGAGAGATGAGGTGGGTGAGGTAATATCTTTTATTGGACCAACTTCTGTTGGTGAAAGAGACAAGCTTTTGAGCTGCACAAGCTCTGTGTGGCTCGAAAGCTTGTCTCTTTCACTAACAGAAGTTGGTCCAGTACAGTACAAGATAATACCTCACCCACCTTGTCTTCCTCTCTCTCTCTCTAATCCATCATGTCAGTACTCTTAGGCAGATGCTAACATGCAGCTCATCAAAGGAGCCTTTAGAGTCTTTCTTCACAGTACATGTTGTGAGGGGCCCTTTTAATCTCTGAATTATTAACTTGGAAGCCTTTAATAGCTTCCTCTCTTGTGTCAACAGGACTTTGCATATTGAAAAGCAAATGTGTTCTACAGTCCCATGTTACACTTGCTGAAGTCAATTTAGCTTTGCTGCTCTGCAGCAGCTGAGGATCTGGCCCTTTTATCTTTAACTTCAGTTGATATGTGAATAGCATATTAAAAATAACACTAACTTTTATATCATTATTTTAGGGCAATAATAGGGTGTGGCCTGACCCAGTTCAAGTCAGACATCCTCGGAATTCAGCTGCCCTTCTTCACCAGGTTTTGGAATTCAGCTGATAAGTATGTAATTGATCAGATGTAATTGTTTAAAAAGTCTTCTGAGACAGAATTGCCATATGCTGACTCTCAAGTCAGATGTATCAAGGGATTAATCAAAAAGCTAGGGACTAATAGAACCTGGCAGAGAGTTGGAGTGAATGATCTAATAAGATTCTAGTCATTTCAGATATTTGTGATCTTAGATGGAAAATACTGGGAGATATTCCTGGCCCTCTCCATCAGAAAGTAATCTCTTCCTCCTTCTGTGATTTCCATAGGTGAGCTGTGCTGGGCTCTAGCAAATGTAGAGCCATAATTAAAACGACTTGTGATAAGTATGTAGGTTGAATGCTTATGAAAACAGTGTGCTTAACACGTGGGCCCTAATTCTCCATTGCTTTGCACCTCGTGTTGTCATTCACACTGCTACAAAGTGAGTGTAAAATACTAGACTTTTGAATTTAGGTTTGTCTAAATTAATATAGCATTAAGATACTGTGACAAAGTTCCTCCTCTATCTTGGTGGGTCCTGCACTTATTGGCGGATTTTCTTGCCTCAGAGATTCACCATGTGGGTTGGGGAACAGCCCAGAGACCTTCCCCTCTGGGAGAACCCACAGTCCAGGTCAATTGGGAGGTTTGGGGGGAACCGGGGCCCGCCCTCTACTCCGGGTTCCAGCCCAGGGCCCTGTGGACTGCAGCTGTCTATAGTGCCTCCTGTAACAGCTGCATGACAACAGCTACAACTCCATGGGCTACTGCCCCATGGCTTCCTCCAAACACCTTCCTTATTCTCACCACAGGACCTTCCTCCTGGTGTCTGATAACACTTGTGCTCCTCAGTCCTCCAGCAGCACACCCTCTCACTCTCAGCTCCTTGCGCCTCTTGCTCCCAGCTCCTCACACTCCCACCACAAACTGAAGTGAGCTCCTTTTTAAAACCCAGGTGCCCTGATTAGCCTGCCTTAATTGATTCTAGCAGCTGCTTCTTAATTGGCTCCAGGTGTCCTAATTAGCCTGCCTGTCTTAACTGGTTCTAGCAGGTTCCTGATTACTCTAGTGCAGCCCCTGCTCTGGTCACTCAGGGAACAGAAAACTACTCATCCAGTGACCATATATTTGCCCTCTACCAGACTCCTGTACCCCACTGGTCTGGGTCTGTCACAATACTTATATATTTAGTTAAAATGTTTTTTCTTTCTTCCTGGCTATCCTGAGGATTCCACAGTTTCAGTTCAATCTACACATTGTGCATAGGAGACACAGGCTTTTTTCCCTTTTTCCCCCACTGTAAAATGATACAGACTGTTCATACTTTCTTTAATCTGAATCTTCTCTGCTAATGAACATCTGTGGGCTGGATTTTGCAAACCTGCTTTTGTAAATACTCCCACTGAAGTCAAAGGAATTACTCACATGAGTAAGGATTACTTGCATCAGTAAGGATTTGCAGGGTCAGGCTCTGTCTTCTGGATATTGCTCATTAGCTCATTAAAGTAATAAATAAAAAGCCCCATATTATACTGTTTTTTTTGTTTTTGTTTTTTTGTTTCCAAGGCAAGGGCAAAGCAGGGCAAAAGCCTCATTTGCCAAAAGAAAAGGCCATTGTGAACTATTTGTGGCTCACAGGATAATCATACAGTACAGCTCGTACGATATGTGATATGCTTGGTCTTTAACTTTCATCTTCAGTTAGTGAAATAAATCCTGAGACATGCTTATTAAAACAAATTGTTACTCATGGAAGAAATTAGTAATTGCTTTAAGAAGAGCAGTAAAAGATTTTGCTTTTGTTTTGTAAAAGTACAATATAAGATAATTAGAGAAGAATTGATTTACAGAGGCAGGAAAACTCCTGAGAGAAACATATCATCTAGAAATCCTGTTTATACAGAAAGGATTAACTGTGAACAGCAAGCTCATCTTAGCTTCTCCTCCTTGTTGTTGTCTTTTGGAATGTGGGATGAGAAGCATGCTAACTCCTTTCTGGTGTATTTTTGGAGCAGCAAATAGGTTTGGTACCCTTTTTAAAGTCTTTTAAAATAAATGTTATAGCTTCACAGATGAAGCAACAGTTCAGTAAGTATTCAGGCATCATGTAACCCTTACTCCAGTAGACAGTACTAGTTGATATGTATAAGGGCACGTCTATAAAGCAATTAAGAAAAACCTGTGGCACTGAGTCTCGGAGCCTGGGTCATCTGACTTGGGCTTGCAGGGCTCCGGTTGTGAAGCTGAAAATTGCTGTGTAGACATTCCCGGTTGGACTGGAGCCCGGGCTCTGAGATGCTCCCTCCTCGCAAGATTTCAGTGCCCAGGTTCTAGCCCCAGCCAAAATGTCTACACTGTGATAGTTAGCTCTGCAGCCCGAGTCCCACAAGCCTGAGTCAGCTGAACTGGGTCAGCTATGGCCATGTTACTCTAAAAAAAAAAAAAAAACTATGTTAAAAGAAGGTTAAGTTTCCAAAGTCAAGCCGTCAAAAATTAGGAAATGCCAGACTTAAGGTTGCCTGCATAGCCTTAACTCGGCCCTCTTGTGCATATGCATTATGATATAGCCTTTAGTGACATGGTCACCTACTATTTTTTCCACCACATCTCTGCATCATTCAGTGCACAGGATGGACAGTGCTCACTGAACGAGCAGCAGTTCAATAATTTGTTTTCTCCTTGTTTGTGTGGTCCCAGGCCTTATTTGCTACATGCTGTTTAAACCTTGCTCTGAAGACTGAATTATTTATTTCCTGATTGGCTTTTTCTATGGCTTCACAAACAATGAATTAATTTATCTTTGTAAAACCCCGGTGAGGGGAGGTGGTGGTATTATCCCTATTTCATACAACAAGATTAAAACATTTTAAGATCAGAAGGAACCATTAGATAATCTAGTTTGACCTCCTGTATCTCTCTGGCCATTAAATTTCAATCAGTTACCCTAGTGTTGAGCTTAAAGCATATCTTACAGAAAGGCATCCAGTCTTGCTCTGAAGGATCAAGAGATGGAATCATAGAATAACAGGGTTGGAAGGGACCTCAGGAGGTCATCTAGTCCAATCCCCTGCTCAAAGCAGGACCAATCCCCAACTAAATCATCCCAGCCAGGGCTTTGTCAAGCCTGACCTTAAAAACATCTAAGGAAGGAGATTCCACCACTTCCCTAGGTAACCCATTCCAGTGCTTCATCACCCTCCTAGTGAAAAAGTTTTTCCTAATATCCAACCTAAACCTCGCCCACTGAATCCACCATTTCCTGTTATAGTGGTTCCAGTGCTGCCTTTGCACTGCAACCTTAATTCTGGTATTTCCTAACTTTTGTGTGTGCTCGACTCAGCAGATTTAATGTTCTTTTAACATGGCTTTTTCAATATAACTTCCTTGATTTTTTTAAGAAAAGCAAACTGGAAAAAAAAAAACCCACCAGAAATTCAATCATGTGAAACTATATTGACTCCCACATGGTTCATCAGTAGGGTTTGGACTTTTAGATCAACAGCACAGACATCTGCTACTTGAGCTAACAGAGTAACTATAGCAGTAGTAGGTTGTCATACTCTTTGTGGCCCAGCATGCCTTGCTGTGCCTCACTGTTTTCTGATGAATTATTTTTCTCCATGTTGTAGGAGGAATTTCATTACAGCTGGTGCAGGAGCAGGAATAGCCTCGGTATTCCGTGCTCCTGTGGGTGGACTCTTGTTCACATTGGAAGAGGTGGCCTCTTTCTGGGACATCAGACTGGCCTGGCAAACTTTCTTCTGCTGCTTGATGGCTGCCTTCACTACGGATTTACTCTCTTCATCTCTTTCTGGGTTTGTTTACAGAGGTCATTTTGGATTTTTCAAAGCAGAGAAAAGAATTTTATTTTGGGTATGTACCAAACGGACTATTTTTGAATACAAATATAGCTCATGGATTTATAATTTATACGGCAAATACCCATATCTCTTTGGGCCTGGAATCTGGGAAAAAATAATCTGTGGCACTAGTCCTGTTTTCTGTCTGAAGTGAAGAATCTTGAGAAGCATAAATGGGAAATTAGCCTATGAAAATTAAAAATAGTTTATGGACTGTTTTTAAGCCTTTAGGGGTCTAACAGCAATTGACACTGACCGGAGGACCCCTTCTCTTACCATGCCATACCGCATACCAGCTAATATTAAATGACTACCTCTGACAGCAACATCATTTCTGATGAAGCACTTAGTGATACAGTCTTAGGCCATGTCTTAGCTAGGAAAAGAGGTGTGTTCTTACCAAGTGTTCATTAACAAGTGGTAACTAACATGAGATATATCCTAGTGAAGCTGAGGCAGTTTGTAGTTTTAAATGTATTAGCAATTGGAAGTAAACCCTAGGCTCCACCTTAATGCTGGAGATAGCCAGTGAAATCTCCAAGGTGAGAGAGGTTGACAAAGAAGGGGGAGGGAGCCAGCCCAGCCAGGAGAGGCACTAGCATCCGAAGAAGTGGGCTGTAGTCCACGAAAGCTTATGCTCTAATAAATTTGTTAGTCTCTAAGGTGCCACAAGTACTCCTGTTCTTTTTGCGGATACAGACTAACACGGCTGCTACTCTGAAACCTCTAGATTTAAAGCTGCACTTTCCTGTTGTCACCTTATCTGAGGGGTAAATTTCCCTCCCTGAGCAGGCTACGCCTGTGGGTAGCAAGTGGGGAGAATTGCTATTTCCAATTTTCCTTGATGTGCGTCTGGCCCAATCAGTTAAACTTTCTCTCAGAACCATCTTCTGTATGCAATTTTTTTTTCTTAAGCAACTTCTTAGTCTCCTCCAACCTGTCCAACACAGTTTTGGTCAACCATTAGTTAGCAAAATTCAGCTGCCTAATAGAGTTTTCTCTATCTGCATGGGTGGAAGCTTAGATAGGTTTGACTATAGTTATTTTAACTGTTGCATCCGAAGAAGTGGGCTGTAGTCCACGAAAGCTTATGCTCTAATAAATTTGTTAGTCTCTAAGGTGCCACAAGTACTCCTGTTCTTCTTTTTGCGGATACAGACTAACACAGCTGCTACTCTGAAACCTGTTAACTGTTGCAGTTTTTGCTGAGCTGGCATTAGAGTGAAACAATGCCACGGGCAATCTTGTTGATTTCCGCACGTGGTTTCTGCTTAATGGCTCAGCCTCGGAGTGGGAACTGCATTCCTGGTAATTAATAGAAAATGGTTAGCTCTTAACATAACAGAACAATTATTTCCGAAGCCCTTTTCCTTCCCCGTGGGGATCCTTGCATTGAGCTCAGGCTATTAGATGGCCAACAGCTTGCAGTGCTTTTGGCTGGGATTATCAAAGGGTTAGCTGCCCAATTTTCACTGAACTCGGAATTGGGCATATAGCTCCTTTTTATTAGGCTCTTTGAAAATCCCAGCCCCAGCTGTTACCAGAGAACAGTATGAGGTTCCCTGGGATATGCAAGAAACATACCAAAAAATGTGAGGTATTGGGGGCAAAGGTATCTTTTTGGCATAACATTAATATCCATACATTTTCAACCTGCTGCGGCCAAAATCTGTGACATGTTTTTTAAAATTGGATGATACTCAAAACAAAGGATACATTGGAAAAATAGCAGTGTTTAGGCAACAATAGGTAGGGAGACTTTGGTGGTGGTTTAACACTTGGCTCAGCTAAGTCTTGAATAGCTTCCTGGTAAGCTCTCTTTGTTGCTGTTTACCAGCTGTTTCATTTTGTTGCTTGTAAATGGATACAAATACGAAGAAAAATAAATAATACTTGGAAGACACAAGTATTTATTTACATACAAAAAGATATTGTTGAACATGCCAGATCATGGCACTCCAAAAAACGTCCCATCCCCACAAATTTTGTTTGATCTCAGGAAGAATATACAACAACAGACATGAAATTCCATAATTTCCTTTGTTTTTCAATAGCAGCATGTATATAAAATAGCCGTAGGACAATAGCTGTCAATCTTTGCTCAAGTACGGTTGAGGGTTTGGGTCTGTATTCTGCAAAGTGCTGAGTGAGTGCCCTTGGTTCCCACTGACTTCAAGCAGAGATAAGAGCACTCAAAACCCCATAGAACAGTGTGGTGTTGGTCAGATTTGAGATCCACTGGACAAGCTGTGTGGGGAAGTTTGCACAGAACAATCTTGCAATATCCCTGCCTCTAACCAGTGCTTAGTAATACTTCATCATGAGTACCAACAATTATCCCCCACCCTAGAAGAAGAAAGACTGCAGATGCTACTCAAATATACTACTCTTTATTTCTGAGGGCGGGGATGTAAAACCCCTGAAGTGGACAATAATGTTTCCTTTGAAGGAAGTTAGGTATATATGTATTATTATATCTCATAGAACTGGAATGGACCCTGAAAGGTCATTGAATTGAGTCCAACCACCTGCCTTCACTAGCAGGACCAAGTACTGTTTTACCCCAGATCCCTAAGTGGCATCCTCAAGGATTGAGCTCACAACCCTGGATTTAGCAGGCCAATGCTCAAACCACTAAGCTATCCCTCTTTGAGCTATTGCTTTCTTTTTTTTCCTAACCCTAAGTAGTTAATGGTTGGCTAATGTCCTGAAGTCTGAGGGTTTTGATATTCTTTTTGAATTTTTATTCTGTCCAGTATTGCACTGGATATTCTTATTATTCACATAAATGTCTCACCCTATTTTGAATTCTACTAAGCTTTTTGCTTCAATAAGATTTTTGACAGCTACTTCCTTCATAGGTTAATTACACATTGCATTAATACCAAACCATATGCTTCTTTCTGTACCATGGTATGGAGGGAAGCAACTCCATGCTATCCATGCAAAATTAGGTATGGGAAAGCAGCGGAAAGACCAGAAACTGTATCTCTTTGATTCCTTTTAGCTGCCAGGAAATCTGCACCACTTCCCCTGGGTACACACTGTTAGGTGTACACACTACCTTGTTTGTGTGGGGACTTCTCATCTCAGAATTTCATTGTCAGGAAGATATTCCTTATAGGCTACATTCTCTCTTTCTTGATTTCTTCCTGCTACTCTGTTGTTTCATGTTCCACTCTAACTCTCTCTGGTGTGTGATCTCTCTAAAATACTTGTAGATTATTAGCTTGTCTTAACCTATAAAAATATTACGCAACTGTTATGTATTGCTTTTCATCTGTTGATTATAAAGCACTTTATAATGGAGGTAAGTATCATTATCCTTGTTTTACAGATGAGAAAATGTAGGCAGGGAGAGATGAAATAACTTGCCCAAGGTCACACACCAGGCAATGGCAGAACTGGGGCTAGAACCTAGCTATCCTGAGTCCCAGCTGAGTATCCGCTCCTTAGTGCATTCCTCATAAGGACAGCCATACTGGGTCAGACCAAAGGTCCATCCAGCCCAGTATCCTGGCTGCTGACAGTGGCCAATGCCAGGTGCCCCAGAGGGAGTGAACCTAACAGGTAACGATCAAGTGATCTCTCTCCTGCCATCCATCTCCACCCTCTGACAAACAGAGGCTAGGGACACCATTCCTTACCTATCCTGGCTGATAGCCATTAATGGACTTAACCTCCATGAATTTATCTAGTTCTCTTTTAAACCCTGTTATAGTCCTAGCCTTCACAACCTCCTCAGGCAAGGAGTTCCACAGGTTGACTTTGCGCTGTGTGAAGAAGAACTTCCTTTTATTTGTTTTAAACCTGCTGACCATTAATTTCATTTGGTGGCCCCTAGTTCTTGTATTATGGGAATAAGTAAATAACTTTTCCTTATTCACTTTCTCCACACCACTCATGATTTTATATACCTCTATCATATCCCCCCTTAGTCTCCTCTTTTCCAAGCTGAAAAGTCCTAGCCTCTTTAATCTCTCCTTATATGGGACCCATTCCAAACCCCTAATCATTTTAGTTGCCCTTCTATGAATCTTTTCTAATGCCAGTATATCTTTTTTAAGATGAGGAGACCACATCTGTAAGCAGTACTCAAGATGTGGGCGTACCATGGATTTATATAAGGGCAGTAAGATATTCTCCTTCTTATTCTCTATCCCTTTTTTAAATGATTCCTAACATCCTGTTTGCTTTTTTTTTTTACTGCCACTGCACACCGCGTGGATGACTTCAGCGAACTATCCACGATGACTCCAAGATCTCTTTCCTGATTAGTTGTAGTTAAATTAGCCTCTATCATATTGTATGTATAGTTGGGGTTATTTTTTCCAATGTGCATTACTTTACATTTATCCACATTAAATTTCATTTGCCATTTTGTTGCCCAATCGCTTAGTTTTGTGAGATCTTTTTGAAGTTCTTCACAGTCTGCTTTGGTCTTAACTATCTTGAGCAGTTTAGTATTGTCTGCAAACTTTGCCACCTCACTGTTTACCCCTTTCTCCAGATCATTTATGAATAAGTTGAATAGGATTGGTCCTAGGACTGACCCTTGGGGAACGTGACTAGTTACCCCTCTCCCAGGGCTGGCTCCAGGCACCAGATGAGAAAGCACATGCCTGGGGCGGCACATTGTAAAGGGTGGCACATTCCGGCCGCCCTGACATGGTTCTTTATATATAATTTTTTTTTTGCTTTGGCAGCCTGGTCTGCAGCTGCGGAGCCCCCGGACAGCTCCCCGCACTCCGCCAGTCCCAGCCCAGCCCTGCAGGGGCACGGACCCTGGCCCGGGGGGCAGGAACTAGCGATCCCCACTGCTCACCATGCCGCTGGGCTCCCTGGGACGTGCCACTCCCCACCTCCTGCACCGGTCTCCGCCTCCCGCGCCGCTCTGAGCCTGGCCCAGCCGAGCTGCCTTTAAAGGAGCGGCTGAGCCAGCACCTCCTGCAGCCCCCGGTGGCTCTGCCTGCCTGGCTGAGAGAGGTACCCCAAGGCTGGAGCGGGGAGCCCCTCTCGCCCAGCTGCGAGCGGGCTGCAGCGCCTGGCTGCCCACGGGCGGAGGAAGCGGGCGGATGCCGCCCTTCACCCCCTGCGAACCACCTTGACCACGCTCCCTGCGGCCGCCCTTTTTTTTATTTTATTTTATTTTTTTTTATTTTTTGCTTGGGGTGGCAAAAAAGCTAGAGCTGGCCCTGCCCTCTCCATTCTGAAAATTTACCATTTATTCCTACCTTTTGTTCCCTGTCTTTTAACCATAAGTAGACTTCACTGGCCCTGATAATTTTTCATTGCTTTTCTCTAATTCTCTCCAGTTTGTCTCTGCATTTCTGGTAATGTAGTGCATGCAACTGAGGCAGTATTCCTGGTTGTGTAGAGAGGATTCTTACTTGCATGCTCCATGCTATGCTGACTCTGCATGTTCTGTACAAAATTGTATTGGGCACTTCTGCTTCCACATCACATTAGACTTGCATCTAACTTACTGTATCTGGTACCCCTTATCGCTGCAGGCTTTTATTAACTTCAGCATGCTTATTTAGTTACCAACTTCCTTTTGCATTTCTGGAAACTTTTTTTAAACCTCATGTTTCTAAGCTGTTCCTCATGAAATCACAACAGCCACTCCTTTTATAGAGGTACTGAAGTCTCCTGCTTTCTAGTTAGAGCATCTTTTAGAATTTCCCAGTCTTCTTTCACACTGACACATTTTAATACCTCTGTCTTGTGCATGTCTTTTCACAGATGTCAATACCACTCTGTTTTTTAATTCCTTGACATTTTCTGTCCTGAATTGTAATATATTTGTACTGTTGTGTTCTGTGAATTCAATACCCCACTCAAACTAGTTATCATGACCTGCGGTGGAAAAAGTCTCATTCTGCCACACAGTACTGGAAAAGTATATAAATATACATAGCAGTTGTGAAAACAAACTGGAGGTTGACCCAACACAAAAGGAGAACACCTCTCTGTAACAAAAACACACAAGAGGGCAAAATATGAGAATGACCTCTGTTTTTAGTATTTGTAGCCCTTTACAAGCTCATATTAGGACATCTTCAGAAAAAGGCAGTGGATGCTGGCCCTCTCCATCTTCTTTTAGTGTCAGAGGAAAAACTGGATAGAATTACCAGCACATGACTTCTGCTGGTGTTCTATAGGTTTTGGCTGTCCAGATGGTACAGATAATCAGAAATATTTTCACTTCAGTTAGTTTGGGGCTCAGGGGAAATTTCACTTCTTTCATGTTTGTGGCATTAACCAACACAGTTTATAATGAATAAACTCTGAATTGAAAGCTTGTGGGTTATGTTTCTCAAGAAAAATATTTATTTTCCTCAGTTTCACTCTATCCAGGATAATGTTACAAGAGGAATTTATTGCATGGCAGCTCCATGTGAATTTGCAGAGCTCAAGATTTTTAGGAAGCTTGACTTTATTTATTGTTACTTGGACCACTGGGTTATTTACAAGTGTGAAGCTCATTGGGGCAGGCGACCGATCTCTCTTGTGGGCTGGTCTCAGATTGCAGCTCGAACTGTCACAGGAACTAAGATCTACCAATACACTTTGCCACTTTTTGTTCCAAATGCAAGGCCTATGTGCTTCACCTTGCCTTTGCTAATACAAACGCACAGCGTACATATAATATATTAAAACAATAGTCCTCATGCAATTTCTCCCAGGGAAAGGGAGACAGAAAGAGAGAACCACACATGATGTTAGTCACATAACTTAATGCAGTCTTGGAAGACACTCAGATACTTTAGTGCTGAGGATGGTGTGAGAAACTGAACAGAATAGAATTCTTGATGTTTCAGATTTAGCAACTGGCCTCTATATTTAATTTTTTATACTACCTATTTAACCAGTTAAGTCTGTAGACAGATCATTGTTCTAAAGAGGATGATTTCATTGTAGTAATTGCTGAAAATAATGCCAGGGTTGTACACTATGGACAGATAGCATGTGTCACAGTACTCTGTGTCTGTGCAAATTTTTGGAGACTGTGTTTGTCCCCTCCATAGTCTTTCCGAGTGCACCCCCGTTAGGTGTCAGGCCTCTTGTCTTCATTTTTTCTGAGTTGGAATCCCATAATTCCCCCACTCTTAGACCTTGTCCCAGAGCTACAGCATCCTGTGTACCAACAATGAGTACTTAGCAGTCCCAGTTGGGTTTATCCTCTGCATGTCTTTCCTCATAGGTGATTTGCTCAGTGGTTAATACAGTGACCAGGCATCTTTCTTAAAACTACGTATTGTTTAATCTTAACAGTAGGAACAAAGCATAAGACAAAAAGGGTTTTAAAACAGTTACGTCTATACACATCTACCTCACTTGAGGTTTGCCATTCCCTGGAAGATAAGGAAGACCTGATTACTTCAAACCCCCTTTGCAGCCCCTGACAACTGTCCCTGCTCACTCTTCTAGTGAGTCACCTTTTAACTGTTTTGTGTCCTTCTGATCTGTCTGTTCCCAGCCTTGGCAAAATAGCAGTGTAACCTTGGGTTGGAGCAAAGGAAGTAGCATTTACATAGCTTAATAGCCCGGTATTGATTCTTAATGACCCCTGCCATGTTTACTAGGAGGTTACTGGTCTAGATCACATTGTGTTGCCTTTCTGCTGGTTTCCTAACAGTCCTGCTATAAACCAACATATGCATACAGTAAATATTTCCAATATAAGTATAAAATAACTGTCCAAATAACTAGGTCATACACAGTATTAATAAACGGTTACAGATTAGCCCTACCTCCAGTTTTACTTGCAGTTTATTCAGTGATTTTGAAACAGATAGTTGCAGATTGAAGCTTAATAAATGATTATGAATGATGAGGTGGTTTAAGGTACAGTGAGTAAAATCCTGGTCCTGCTGAAGTCAAGGTAAGTTTCTGCATTACACTCTGAAGTTCTGAGCTCTCTCAGTAATAAGAGATGCAGCACAAAGATTTCTGCCTGATCGACTGCTTTTACTCAGAGAAAGAGGGGCCAAAGAAGGAGCTGCAGTACTGAGCCTTCAGCCTGATTTGATCAAGTCCTTTCCGATCTTTTTAAAAATCAAAACAACTGGCTGGTGGAGCTATGTGCTGCCTGGGCTTGTACTTTCTGATCCTGCAAGGTTCTGAGGAGACGGCTCTTGGCTCCTCATGTGAACATCCCTAAATTTGAGAACTGCACTCCTTAAGCTGCAAGGAAAGATCTGTTTCTTATAAAGTAAATTTTGCTTATTTGTTGCATTGTTATATCATGTTTCACTTAGCAGAGTAGCTGCTGTATTTCAAATCACTGGCAGAATTCTCAGAACGTACTGTCTTTCTTTTCTCCTTCAATTCAGGTTAAAAACTTGCTGGATATGAGTGTCTTGGCCTTCGTTCCAACCATTTTCCTTGGAATACTTGGAGGACTTTTTGGAGCTCTCTTTGTTTCCCTAAATATAAAGATTAATAAATTACGTGAGCGTTTCTTTAGCTCAATTCAAAAAACATCCCTCAGAAAAACAAGCAAGCTCTTGGAATCTGTGCTGGTTCTTGTAAGTAAATGTGTGTTTCTCAATTAAAGATTGAAGTCATGTTTAAAATAGTTCAGGTAAGAGTGAAGGCCAGTCACAGGGTGGCTAGATGAAACAGCAGATGACAGGGAAAAGTGACTTTCTGGTGCATGATTTAGCACAATTGATGTGCAATGGGCAGAAGGGACCCAAAATGTTGTACAGGGATTTTTCAGCCTGTGTACACATGGGTAGGAGTGTACAGTGTGTGTTTATTGTTATTATTCATCATTTATTATTTTTACAGCACTTACCACGTTACTTTCTGTGCTGCCCCAAGCCATTCCTTCATTCTCATGATGCTACATTTATTTAGCAGTATGGAGAACTGCTTTGCTGCGTTGATGGCTGTCACATTCATTTTTGGTGTTTGGATGGTTGCCACCAGTAGGTTCCAAACATTTCCTTTCTCCTCATTTTTCCTCAGCAATGACAGACCACCTTGGCATTTGGGAGAGGCATGGTTGCTTGCATCCTCTCTCCATCCTCTCTGCCTTCATCGAGGGGTGACATGTTCTCCTCCTTGGCCTTTGGTATCTTCAGGTGGCAGTCTGGAAGGCCTGTTTCCCCTCTAATCCATTTGTCATTTTGTGGGGTCAGTCTATTCCCCTGCTTTGGTGCAAAAGAATCAATTAGATCCCTCTGCTACATCTGCACCTTTAAAACGTAAAAGGCAATTGGGAGTGTATACCCCTTAGGATTGTGACATATCAAGTAACATGACACACCATGAAGAAAGAAGAACAGGAGTACTTGTGGCACCTTAGAGACTCTAAGGTGCCACAAGTACTCCTGTTCTTCTTTTTGCGGATACAGACTAACACGGCTGTTACTCTGAAACACCATGAAGAAGGATCTCTGTTTGTTGGGGGAATGATAGATGCATGGGGCATAAGGGTTGGAGAGGACTTCAGAACTTTGGATGAATTTTGAGAACTTTTTAGATGTTGCTTCATAACTGGATTGAGGCCTGGGCTAGATGTGAAAGGATCTATCCTATTTACAGTCCTTGGAGCTATCTAGTCTCCCACTGAGTACAGTTTTCAGTTTGTGGGAAGGATTTTTCCATAAGAACTAGAAAAGTAGTGCAAGCCTAAAAAGTTTCTATGTGTGTGTCTATGTGTATGTTTCCATCATTTTCAATTTCAAAATTATGGTGAAAGATATGGAGAGGGGGCTTCGGGGTGGAGAGGGTGAAGTGTTTAGAATATTCTGCTGTACTTTATTTGTAGATTACTCTGAGTTGGATTTCTCCACCAGTTTTATCTTCTGAATGCCCACTTCCCATTATTTTCCTTTCTCCATTTTTTGCAGAAGTTTGCAGGGTTTTCAGATATTTTAAAGTGTCTGAATATTCCTATTGTACTTTTTTTCTTCAGAGAAACGTATGCAAACCAAAACCTCATGCTGTTGACATCTCTTAGGCGACGTGCCAGTATATTTACTGAGTTCAGGCTCCCTTCTGAAGAGGAAATGTTATTAAAGGGCACTGAGCCCACCCATGCAAATCCTTGCCTGCCCGTCTGCCCAAATGACCCTATCAGCCAACCTCTGCTCTGAGACCGCAAAAGGATATTGGTGTCACAGGAGAACAATGGTTACTGGTTTAATTCTTCTATGCTTTTTGAGCTATACTGACATTAGGTCCTTCCCTACAACACAATTGCAACCAGAGTAGAGAGTATCCATTTATAACAGTTGTACCCCATTGGTATAGGCAGCATCCACCTCTGTTATAACAGGATATATAATTATAAATAAATATATAAAAATATACTGTGGCCCTGGGCAAATTTCAAAGTTTTAGAACGTGATTGGATCACAATCCCATTGTAGTTGAGTGCCCCAAGGGGACACTAATTATTGTTATGGTAGCGTAGAAAAGACTTAATTAAATGAGGCATTAAACCATGTGTTCCATAAACCTCTTGAAACCCCTGCCCCTTATCAGTCTCTGATGTTTTACTTCAGAATTTCTTGTATTCCTTTACTTACTTACCTCATTTAGAAGAGGCAAAAGTGAGATGGTGTTCTTGCCCTAAAGCTTAAGGGTTGGTCTCCACTACCACTTAAGTCAATGTACCTTATGTCGCTCAGGGGTGTGAAAAAGACACCCCCTCTGAGCAACATAAGTTACATCGACCTTAGCGCTGTCCACACTGGTGCTGTGTCGGTGGGCGACGCTCTCCCTCCGACATAGCTTCCACCTCTCACAGAGTAATTATGCTGATGGGAGGCTCCAAACAGAATTGCAATGCCATTGAGGCCTAATAATAACCAGGGGCTTTTTTTATGTCCAGAAAGCTTCATGCTTTTCCTTGCTGCGTAACGTCATGAATTGCAACTATTCATTTATTATTTGTAGATTGTCTGAGCTATGGAAGCCTCTCTTTCTTCCCTCTACAGCTTCACCTGTTGTTGCCTTCTCAGAAACACATTACAAACTCCTTGCATGAACTACTTACATGTACGAAAACAGACTATTACTTTATCAGGACACAAGATGGGTTTTAAATTTACGACCAGCTAGCCAAGATCTGGGATCAGATATAAAGAGAAAACAAGATGTAATAAAAAGTTTATTTTACACCACTAAAGGGCCAATCCTACATGATACTGAGCACTAGCAGGATTCAGAGAGTGTCACAATTACCAGGTGAGCTGTGCTTTAGATCCCTCTCAGTCAGTCTTGAGTGCACACCTCACGTGGCAGAGCTGGCTTGCCCTGCACCTCACTGTGTGTGGAACCACACAGTACCACCACTCTTAGACTGGATCTCTGGACTGCAGCCCCACCTCCTCTTGACCAAATACACTAATAAGAGGCCCAACTGAGATTAGGACCTATAAGTCCTTTCACCCTCGGGGTGGCCTGTGACAGCAGCTGATTAAAGAGACTCAAATAGCTTCTTCAAAATGGCGCATTATTTATTTACCCAAAGATGTATAGTATGCAGAGTAAAGGGCTTAAACAATGAAAAGCCTATAAGCATGGGTCTTATTTACATCTTAATCTTTTCTTGCAGGTTTTGGTAAATTCCCTTCAGCCCAGTTACCCCATCTCTGGCTGCGAGACGCAGACAATTGTTGCAGCTTCTCCCTCCTTCTGTGGCTATGTCTAAACTTGGAGCTGGAGGTGTGATTCACAGCTTGAGCAGACATTGAGCTAGTACAAATAGTAGTCTAGTCATGGTAGCACAAGCAGTGGCAACAGTGGTACAGGGATAGCTGCCTTGAGTACAAACCCACCCGGAGCTTGTGGGTACATACTTAGGGTGACGATCCTGTGCTACTGCTGCCACACTACTATTTTTAGTGCGCTAGCTTGATGAGAGGTAGCCACGAGTATGGCTACTCAAACTGGGAATTTCACTCCCAGCTCCATCTGTAGAGTAGCCTAAGTGTCTGTCAGCCTCTGTGTTAGCCTCAATCTGTGGACAGCCCTTTCTACCCCTCCCCTTCTGCTATGAATCCTTTAACAGACAAGTGTTGTTTTTTTAATCTCTCTTTTTTGATATCTTAGCACTGTGTAACTTTACTGGCTTCAGCTTCTTTACAACTAATTAACCTGGCTACTGTGGGATGCTTCTTATCTAGGTCATTGTTTTGCCTTTCCTGTTTGATTCCTCTAACTCCCCTTTTGATCTCACCTCATAGCAAGTAACCCAGCATAAACACACAGAGGCATGCACAGTATTCCTAAAAATAATAGATAGTCCTCAGTTTGAGTCCATGGGAATTGAGCGTGTTCAGCATCTTGCTGAAGTCATCAAAATAGCCCAAATGTTTTAGCTATTAAAATAGCTTTGCTTAAAGCTTCATATTTCCCATGGTTTAAATATTTCATCCCTTCCCCCCCTTTACTTTTTAAAATAAACATTTTATCTACGTTCTTCACCAAAGTTAATGAAAGCAACAAAGTGAACTCCTATTCAGATTCTTTCCTTTTTATTGGCTTGAGAAGGTCCTTCTTAGGTTACAAGCCTTGTCTTATCATGTCTTGGTCAAAGGAAGGCAGGGCAGTAGTGATTTGATCTGAAAGGAACCATATAATGCATTTATTAAAATGATGTAGAGTCAGGAAACTAAAAGAATCTATGTCACCGTGACTTTAATTAACCAAGACTAATCTTATATAAACAAGTCAGCATTTAAACTTGGAAAGAAATCACAGTGGTATCTCCCACTCCCACAAGATAACCCTAAGCACTTTCCCTTTAAGGGGAACTGAATTCCTAATCTCCAGCCCTTAGAATAGGGGTGGTTGTCTTTATAAAGTGCCCTCCTGACCTATGGCCATATTTGCTTCTCCATAATTCATAACCTTTCCCTGTAAAAAGGAAATCACAATGTGGATAGTGTTTGCCAGGAATCTAGGGAACATATCTTTCCTTTTTTTTTTATATTTTTATCATGATGTCTAGTTGTTAAGTTCCAAAAGCTCAGAGTTTCCCTAGGTTGGGTAAACAGTTTCATGGCACATTTTTTTAAATTATCAAAACTTTTAAAAGTTGCTTGACTTAGCAATGAAAACCAGCCACAACTGGAATCCCCTAGCCAATCACCTGTCTAACACCCATGTACAAATTTTGGGGGCTTTGGATAAAGTTTGAGCTGGATCTGAACCATATCTGATTTTGATTTTGCAAAAACAAAACCCAACTTACGTTTTGTAAGACCCAAACTATTTCCAGTTCAGTCTGTCTGTTTTAGCAGGGCTGTGCCCATAAGCTTGTTATGTTTGCGATATAGAGAAACAAAGACTTGAGATACAATTGTATGACAAGCAGCTATAATTGTAGATACAGTTGTATCTTAGCTTCTTGGTTTCCATAAATGTACTACCTAATGTGTTTTAATAACTATAGAATCATAGGGTTAGAAGGGACTGCAGAGGTCATCTAGTCTAAACCTCTGCCAAGATGCAGGATTTGTTGTGTCTAAACCATCCAAGACAGATGGCCATCGAGCCTCCTTTTGAAAACCTCCAGTGAAGGAGCTTCTACAACCTCCCTGGGCTGTCTGTTCCATTGTCCTACTGTTCTTACAGTTAGGAAGTTTTAATCTAAATCTGCTATGCTGTAGTTTGAACCCATTGCCTCTTGTCCTGCCCTCTGTGGCAAGAGAGAACAACTTTTCTCCATATTTTTTTATGGCAACCTTTCAAGTATTTGAAAACCTCTATCATGTTCCCCTTCAATCTCTTTTTTTCCAAACTAAACATACCCCGTTTCTTCAGCCTTTGCCCATATAGCTTGCATTCCATCCCTTTGATCATCCTGACGCTTGCCTCTGCATCCTTTCCAGTTTCTTCACATCCTTTCTATACATTGGTGACCAAAATTGGACACAGTGCTCCAGCTGAGGCCTAACTAGCGCCGAGCAGAGAAGTACTATCACCTCCCATGACTTGCAACCTGTGCCTCTGTTAATGCAAACTAAAATTGCATTTCCTTTTTTTGCAACAGCATTGCATTGCTGACTCATGTTGAGGTTGTGATCCACCACAACTCCCAGATCTTTCTCACCAGTGCTGCTGCCAACCTAGTTATCCCCCATTCTGCATTTGTGCATTTGGTTTTTCTTCCCTAAGTGTACCACCTTACTTTCCAGAGTGTGTCTGAATGTCTCACTTATGCCTAAAAAAGGGCACTTTTATAATGGCCCAGTGTGTTTCAGTAGTTTCCTCACAGACACCTGCCTAGTTGTAGGGCAGATCTATTAAAAAAAATCTTCTCTCTTTCCTTACAGTACTTTTACCTTCATTTGGCTAGAACTATAGATGGACCTAAATCATAGTTCAAGGTCCAACCAGTTTTGAGGTTTGGGGCAGTTAGGATCAAGATCTCAGCATTGTGGCTTAGCCCAGTCTGTAGCCGGAATACATTCAGACTGCTGATTTACACGCTGTGGGGGCTTTTAAACAAGAACAAAATAATCAGGGAAAAAACCCTCCATTAGTTTTATTTTTAGTATCCTCTTCCAAATGGTACAATAGAACTAGCAGAAGGAACGTGGATGGTGAGGGCTCTCCTTCATGAAGGATTAGTGCCTGGCTAAACCTGATCTCTACTTGTCGGTGTACAATATTTTATCTAATTTATTTCAGGCATTTGTAAGGTGCCCATCACTACTATAGTGTCTAAGAGCTTTCTTGCGTCTGACGAAGTGGGCATTCACCTATGAAAGCTTATGCTCCAATACATCTGTTAGTCTTAAAAGTGCCACAGGACCCTCTGTTGCTTTTTACAGATCCAGACTAACACGGCTACCCCTCTGATATTTAAGAGCTTTCTGTCACTGAGCAGCAAAACAATATTTCTTTCAAACCTTTCAGAAGTCTCTCCTGAGTGGATTGGTTAAGCAATGAGGCTACAAGGCAGAAATAAGTACCTGTGTACTATGATGATGAGTACTGTAAGCATGTCTACAAATAAGTAATACTGTAGTAAAATAGAAATAGCCAGACATTACAGGGTTTTAGGGGGGTGGGCTTGGGGCTTTTTAAGAGCACAGATAATTTTAAGATGCCCAAAAGTGTGCTAGATTCTTCCCAAAAGGTACATAGAATACAGTTTACACTGTTTCAGTTTTCAGTCTGTCCTGCAAGGAGCTCTGTTTGGGGGTATAACCCATCTGTGTGTGTGTTTTACAGGTGCCCCTCCATGCTGATCCACAGAGAATAGGAGTCGATATAGCCCCCAGCTACAAAACCTCAATTCTTTAACTCGAGCTGTAGCAGCTCAGCCCATGCTTTTAGCTATGGCGATCTCCAGTTCAATCCCTATGGGTTGGCCAAGGTGGTGGCTGTCACGGGTGGACTCCCATTGACTTCACTAGGGTTTGGTGTGGACACAGCGGTCTGACTGTGTGTGGGATGTTTCAGGATTGAGGTTTAAGTGATTGTAGTCAAACAAGATAGATCTCTCAAGATATGTTGGGCACATCCCACAGAACAATCTTCTTGCGATAGCTGCTGGTGTTGGTGATTCTAGATCCTTCACGTTTTCTTCTTCTGTGTTTCTACCTCACATGTTGATGTTTTTGACTTTTTACACCTGCAGGTGTGTACCATCACTGTTACAGTCTACTTGCCATATTTCTTTTCTTGCACTCCAGTCATGAGTCTGAGAACTTTGCAGCTGAAGAACAGTTCAGAAATGTAAGTGGTGAGAATGGCACAAGCATCTTTGTGTGAAATGCTAATTATTACTACAGTATTTCCATTAGTCTCTATGACATCCAGGGATAAACATTGATATAGAATTGGGTGTTTGAAATGCAGAATTTTATTTGTGCATGTGAACTTTTCCAATGTGGCAGTTGGGAATGCAACAACCAGTGCATGCTTAAAGACAAATGCAAAAATGAATGAGCAGGCCTGGGGGTATGACCATTCATATATTTGAGCCTACAAGTGCATTTTCAACTTAGGTTTTGCTTTAAAGTTTAAAGTCATAATTTTGCTTTAAAGTTTATAGATGATAAATATCTATGCTCGAGGAACTCAGAAGTAAAGAAAAATTCTTTTGCTCTCAATTTCTAACAAATCCATTTACTAAGGGGCATATTTGGTTGTGAACTTATATAATAATTTTCTTTTTCTTTTAAACTTCCCTTGCATTGCTTTGCCCCTAATTTTAAAAAGCAACGACAAAAGCCCGTCATTGTGACAAAACACACAACAAAAGTGAACAAATCAGTTTTTCAGAAACAAGAAACCATATAAATCAAAGTAGAACAAGATAACAGATACCTAACAGCCCTGATTATGCAAGAAATGCGTGGGGTGGAACTTGGTGCAAGGCAGAGAGCCCATGCATTAAGCCATGCAGAAGACTTACTTTAAGATCTTACCTGGAGTTTATAGGGGTGGAGGGCCCTCCACTGATCCTCTGGAATGGGGTGCATTTTACTTATCCGTGTCTGATCCATTAAGTGAGACAAAGTAATTGGATTAATGTTAGTACTGTGGTAGCAGCCAGAATACCCAATCAGAATGGGTCTCCACTGTACCATGTACAGTACAAACATATAGGAGTACATGGTCCCTGGCTCAAGTAACTTACACTTTAAGGGCCTGATTCAAAGCCCATGGAAAGATCCCACAGACTTTTGTAGGCTTTGGATTAGACTGTAGTGGACTGAACCTTCAACTTGTTCCATCTGTACCTATATGACTCTCACTTGACTTGAACAGGCCTTTGCATGGTAGAAGGGTACACCAGCAAGGAATAAGTTTCAGGTAGGGGCCTAAGATGACAAGTGTCATGTGAGAGTGATACAATCCAATGTATGTAAATTTTGTAGAGATGTTATATAGATGAGCCGCCTCAGGTTTGATTTTGATCTTGCAGCCAAGTATATTTCTCTTTCTAGCTAATATCTGTGAAGAATCTAGGGGATTTGGACAAAGTTTAAGTTAAATGACAGTTTATCTCTGAATTTTCACCAGTTTACAAGGGTGAATATGGTACAATTACACTGTAGAAAAGGATGGCGGGACATTATATTATATTGCATTAATTTTATATGAAGATTTATTTTCCACTCATGACAATGGACTCTGAGTGCCTTACAAAAGTCAAATAAAAATGCAGACATGTATTACTTTGTATACTACTAGTTTCAGAGTATCATTTGATCTATGTAACATGAATAAATGCTGTGTGCTGTAGTAAAGGTTTTCTTTTCTTTTGAAAAAACATAACTTGTCACCTTCTTAATATCAGGATTTGGCAAACTTATCACAGCTCTTTGGATCTTTATAGGGAAAAGCCTTTTCCTTCACCTCAACATCTTTTTTTTATGTTTTAAGGGCTAACTGCTTGTAAAATGTCATTTTTTCAAAACAAAGATGTTTTGGTTCTAAAGTTGTATAGAAAGTGCATCTGAAATCACAAGAATTTTATGTCTTTTTGCCTGTCTTTGAATCAAAAATTGTCCAGCTGATCCGTGTTAGAAGCTGTCAGTCTTTGCGCCAACTTTTAGTCTGGTGCAGCTTAAATAGGCCCAGTCATAAAGACTCCATCCTAGTGAAACTGGATAGACCTAAAGAGAAGTAAATAATAGGTTGTCATGAACTCTACCAGGCTATACATAGTCTCACCAGGCTTCCGGCTATAATAAACCACAAGAATGAAAGTGGACTAAAGCCTTGTTCACGATTCTCTTAGAAACAAAGAAGCAGACAGTGTATGACTGAGATCCATTGATCCTTGCAATTGTAGGAAGTTAGTATTGATCATCTGGGATATACCTATTCCAATGTAATATGACCCCGCACTGAGTGCTCCAGAGGAAGATTTATAAACTTCAATGTCTCCACAAAAATAGCAAAAATTCTTTCCCCAATGTCTTTGTTTCATAGAATACATCCTATCATAACACATCTAGGCCTGACCTACGCTAGAGCTGGGCAAGTAACTGATTCCTCAGTTCACTGACAGTTTGAAAAAACCCCACAAACTAACCAACCCTGAAAAATCAAAACAACAACAACAAAATTGCAGTTGGGTCAAATTGAAACGGAAAATTCTGGAAAATGTTGTTGAATTGAAAAAGTCAACAAAAATTAGTTTCAGTCAAACAAAATATTTCATTTCCGGGGCTAAATTTTTTAAAAGAAGGGCTAAATTCACAAAATGGCCAGGAGGACCACACTTACCCAGGATGTGGAAACTTGGGTTCAGTTCCTCCCTTAGCCTGATGAGGAGAAGGGATTTGAACTGGGGTCTCCCACAGTGCAGGTGAGTGTACTAATCACTGGGCTATGGGATAGTCTGGGACAGAATGTGCTCAATCTCTGTTCTTGAAGCTGTTCCACTGTGTATAAATAATTAAATAGCCATTGGAGCAGGGACTTGAATTTGGGTCTTCCACATCTTAGGTTAGCGCCATAATGATTCTTTCTCTTTGGCCCAATTACTATTCAAATATTTTATACAAAATGGATCAGCTCCTGCAGGACAGATTGAGAGAGACCCACCTCAGACTATCCTATTGCCCAGGGTTAGGGCATTCTTGCACTATGGGAGTGATAGAGGAAAAGACATGAGATGTTGCTGATGAGTATATGGATCAATTACACAATTTCTGACCCAAGATGGGGACAAGAAGGTTGTTTTTCTTGGGCTATTGTGTGTGTCACTTTTTTAAAAATTGGCAGTTAATTTCTTTTGTGTGGATGAGACTGATGTAAGAAGGCAAATCAAAAATTGGGTTGAATCCTGTGTTCCTTTGGTTGCCAATTTGGGGTCTGTAAGAAACTTTCCTGCTCTGTCTAGAATCTTGATGTTTTCACTTTCTTCTGGAGTTCTGAGCAGGGATCAGGTGGGCCAGTCACCACCAATTTCCTGCTGTTGGTGGAACAAATGGGGTTCACATTGTTTGTGGTAAAAGCAAAAATATGGTGTGTACTTTTCAAACCCAGAGAAAGAGACAATCCCTGCCCGAACACACACACACACACACACACACAGTCTAAAAGGACAAAGAGACAGGGAAGAAGGGTGGCAAAAGTAATGCTATGTATAAAGAAGGCAATCAGGATGCTGACAGGCCCATCTCATTGCTTACAAGTTTGTATGAAATGAAATACCTGGTACCGACAGGTGCACATGGCTCTTCTCTCTTCCTTGCAAAAAACAATCCAAATGGCAAACTCCACTCTGGTCTTGGGGCCCCTGTGATTTGGACTTACACAGAGAGAAATATGATGTGATTGGAATAACAGAGACTTGGTGGGATAACTCACATGACTGGAGTACTGTCATGGATGGATATAAACT